CATCAGTTTCGTTCAGCTCCCCATCATGACAGAAGGAGCTGCTTCCAGGCTCCACAGATCCACCTCTGCCCCTCCGTGGCTTTCCCACCTTAGCTGCCTGGCATTGCTTTCCTGGCGCTCCCAAGGGGATAAACAGGGAGACAAGACGGAGACAAGACATCTCTGTGAGCCAGGGCTCGGCAGGAATTCTGGCCGTACGGCCACGCGCTTCCCCTGTGCTTTTCCCTTCTCGCTAGCAGCACCGTCAGCTGAAAAGATCATGCCTTTCAGCCCATGGCTTGCGCTTTCTGGCTCACCTGCAACAAAAATCTGGACTCTTTCTTCCGTTTGGTGGTGGTGGTGGTGAAACAAGCTCAAGTGCCAGCTGTGGCTGCTGCGGCTGCTTTGGAACTTCACCGAAACAAACGAATCATGGAGCAAAGGTCAAGCGGGAGGGATGGGAGTGGGGGAGCCAACGGAGCCGCCTGTCCTGCTGGGTGAGCTCAGCCCCCACGTTTGTTCGTTTTGACTGCTGGGAGGAGGGGCCTGGAAGGGCCCCTTCTTGTCCTTCTACGACTGGGTGGGTTGGGGAGGGGGCTAAGAGTGTGGAAGGCGTGCGACTGGGCTCCTCTGTGGGCTGGCAGCCCCCCAGCCAACTGGCCAGCCACAGACGCCCGTGTCCATAAATGGGGTGCCCTGGGCGGGTGCTTTTCAGCAGCCACTGGAGCGGTGTGTAAAAGGAGGCCTTTGCCTTTCTTCTCCAAGACCTTTGCAGCTTTAATAGCCAGCCTATAATTTTCACCTGTGTTCCTTTAATAGTGTGCCAGCTGTGTGCCTTGCTCGAGGGTATCTGGCAGGAGGCCTGCGCTGGGGGAAGGGCTGCGTGCGGGGGGGGCTGTCGGTGGGAGGCGAGCGCTGCCGAGCGAGCGAGTCTGCTGGTCCGCCTGCCCAGCTCCGTGGGCGAGGGGCGAGGGGTGGGCCAAAGGATCCCATTAGCATTATGTTTTAGAGGCTTTGGGGCATACACTGGCCCGTGAGTGCCGGCTTGGTTGCCTCTGGGCGGGTTCTTCCTCCCTAGTCCCTCTTGGCTACTTTGTCGGACAGACAGCCCTCGTAGGAAAAATGGTGGGTTTCTCCCACCACCTCCTTCCCCTCCACCACATGTTATTTCCCTGGGGGGCAGGGGGGTAGACACATGTCTCTCTGGAAGCCTCAGTCACACACTGGATATCAAGGAGGTCTGAGATTATTGGTTACAGAACCAAATCATGGGGCAGAGGATCAGGCCCATCGTCGTAAGAAGGTGGTGGCTCACCCCTCCACCACATGTTATTTCCCTGGGGGCCAGGGGGGTAGACACATGTCTCTCTGGTTCTTGGGCCTGTTGCCGGATGTGGCTCACCCGCTTTTGGCAGGGGCGGGGGCCTTGGGTCAAGGACATCTGGAGAGGCCCAAAGGTAGAAGTCCAGCCAACATCCTCATCTCAGAGAGACTAGTTCCCCACACACACACACACACACTCCTCCCCCCTCCATCTTGGTCACCAGGATTCTCCAGCAGCTCCCTAGCAGCAGAAGGCAGCAGGTGAGGTTGGTGAAGGCTCATGACCCTTGGCTTCTGCATCATCATCTGTGAATTTGACCCGTCTCCTTTTAAAGCCCTCTGTCTGGTTGGTGGTTTTCACCCCTTGAGGTAGCAAATGCCACTGTTAAACCTGGGCCATCTGTTGTACTTCTCATGGTTGGGATTTATTGGGTGGTAAGGAAATTCAAATTAGTGTGAGAGGCGAGAGAGAAAAGATTCCCTCTCTTTGCTTTCATCCCCCGCAGAGCATATCAGGATTTCAGGGGAGGTTGGGTGTCTTCTGGCAAAGCTCGTACTGTGTTTTGACTTGGATTAATGTAAAATAATTAAATACTCTACGAATGGGCAAATGTTTTCATTTGTTTCCAGTAATGATGTTTCACATTTCATATCAGACCGTTGGACAGGCAGAGCAGAAGGAGAGGCCTGTATTTTTATCTCTCTCGAAAGGAGCCTTGGTTTAGAGATGAGGGTACTGGACCATGATGGCGGCACGCACGCACCCCCCTCTGTCACAGCTCTCTCTTTCTTCCCCCTTTTTCATGTTTCCCTTAACCTTGTGACCTCTCCAGGGCAGGGAAATGACCTCCGCCCCCACCCCAGTTTTGGCTGACCTTTTCCTGCGGCTTCTCCATTTCCACAGTTCCTTTGTTTGGTGTGCGGCCATTAGATCTGGGCATACGATCCTGAATGTGTCGCCCCATGGTTTCATTTATGAAGCCGTTTTCATTTTTTTATTTTGTTTTATTTATATCCGGCCTATCTGGTCAGTTACGACCACTCCCTCACTTGGCTGCTGCCGGATGGTTTTGAACAGTGTCTTCCACCGGCCTAGGCAGCCTAGGGGTGGTGGAGGATGATGGGGCATGTTCCAACATTTCTGGGGGCACTAGATTGGAGAAGGATGCTGTAAAAGCCTTATGATATTGGCAGTTTTGTTTTGTTGTTTAGTTGTGTCCCCATTGACCAGAGCACATGCCAGGCCCTCCTGTCTTCCACTGCTGCCTCCCGGAGTTGTGTCAATTTCATGTTGGTCGCTTCGATGACCCTGTCCAGCCGTCTTGTCCTCTGTTGTCCCCCTTCTCCTCCTGCCTTCGCTCTTTCCCAACATCAGGGTCTTTTCCAGGGAGTCTTCTGTTCCCATGAGATGGCCAAAGTATTGGAGCCTCAGCTTCAGGATCTGCCCTTCCAGGGAGCACTCAGGGTTGATTTCCTTCAGAACAGAGGCAGTTTTCTTACCATCCCTTTTCTAACGATCCCTCACTTGGAATTCACCCTTTTCAGAGTGGCGGCCGCCTGCAGCATTAACAGTTTCATGTCACTCTCCACCCTGTTGTCTTTCTCAGTCAGCCCTCTCCCCTCAAACCCCAGCAGTGTTTGCTGTCTTGCTCTGTCCTGTCCCGTCGCTTCCTGCTCTTGGCAATCCTCATAGGGTTTGGGGGGTACTGGGGTGTTCGGTGGGTGTCATCTCCCAGTGAGTTCTCCTGACCCCATGGGCCCTCGTCCAACACTTTTATCTACTGCACCATCTACAGCAGGTAAAGTTTTTACCTGGTAGACGTCACTCTCAGAGAGACGTTTGCCTGTTACTCTCCCTTTTTGCCTTAACCGCCTGGACAGTATGAGCCCTCTGCAAACACGGGTGCCTTAGGGCCTGCCCGCCCCAGATCATTGGTGAAGACGTTTCAGAGGTCCCAATCCAAAGCTCAAAGCTCATATCTCTCCACTGTGCCAGCTGCCCAGTCCACATTGCCCCCCCCATGTTGTTTTCATTGGGAGCGTGACTTAGGGAGGGAGGCTAGGGCCACTCCAGCCAGCCAGCCTTGGAGAAGCAAGCAGGCCTGGCCCAGGACTTGGTTGGTTCTGACAAAGACCCGTCTCTCCCTTGCCAACTGTTTTCCCATTCTCGTGGGGTCTCCCCCTCACTCAGAAGAGGCACCCGGAGTGTTTAAGCTCTCCTCCTTTCCTTGCCTTCACCCACGTGCCCTGTCCTGGTTTCCTAGTCGCTGACTGTTTGGAAAAAGAATTGCTTACTGCAGCCTGATTCTTCGTGGCCTCCTCCCTCTAAGCAGTCAACACCCCAATGGGCTTCATTCATATCTTCCACATAAATCCAACCAGTTTGGGCTGAACCAGAGGGGAGCTTGTGGCATTTTCAGCCAGAAGTTATGGGGAATGTTTTGAAGAATCTCAGGCTGCCGGAAATAACTCACAACAGCAATGCTTTCCCCAGATCCTACGATGGTAGCAACCCGGGGAGGAGAGGGGAGGGGAGGAGAGGGGATTCTAGCAATAAGGCCGCGCTTAGGGATCCGGGCTGGGCTTTAGAGGTTGTCCTCAGACTCCTCCTGGGGAGCCTCGGGTGGCATCGGCCCTTGCAAGACCAGAAGCTCTTTCTTTGGTGCCATGCTCCACTTCCATGCGTGGTGGTGGTTCAGCCATTGGGCAGGTGCCATATTTGCTTGAATGGTGGCAGCTGCTCACTATGGTTTCTCTATGTGTGTGTTTTTTTTCCTTCTCCCAAGAGTTCTGTCCTCATGGCAGGGCTTAGAAGCGTTACTTCTCAAGTGACATTTTCCTGACCCCTAGTGTGCACCTTTACCTCCCTGCCTACAGAGAGACGGAAAAGCTCCTCCATGCCCCAGAACCCTTGGATGGGCGAGTCAGGGAGCAAGGAGGCAGGACAGAAGAGCAGAAGAAACAAAAGAAGGGCCCTCTCAGGACAGGCTAAGGGGCCTTCTGACCCCGGCCTCCTTTCCCGATAGCAGCATGCCAGCCCAAAAAGCACAGGCCTTGGACTTCCCACAGCGGCTGGGATCAAGAGGTGCACTGCCTCTGAAGATGGAGGCTTCTCTAGCTATCACAGCCTCCCCCTCCCCCCCCTTCCTGTTATCTCTCTTCTGAACCCATGGCAGCCATCCCTTCTTGTGGCAGAGGGTTCCATCTGTTCATTAGACATTGATGAGGCACTATGTCAGGCAGGCCTAGCATTCCCTGGGGAGCATCTGCTTTCCTCCCACCACCGGCCCTCTCTCTGGCTGGGTCTGTGCAATGTTTTGTCACCACCCCGAGAGGTCAGGATCCGTCTCCTGGGGCCGTCTCGCGTGCAGCTCCCGCTGTTCAAAGACAGGCTGGCTACGGACCCAGGGCAGAGGGTGATTTCCTGTCACCCTGGCTGAGTTAAACGCCCACCAGTCCCCCTTGGGAAAAGGTGGGGCCAGGGCCCCCCCCCTGACGCTCTGGACCCACTCCGCCAAAGGGCCAGAGACTAAAAAGAAGCTGGTCTCTCAGTCACACGACACTCTCCTCTCCCGGTACAAACAACGCGGGTTTATTTTAAGATTATCCGTGACATGAAGCCCCCCCCCCCAGTGCAACGTGTCCACGGTGGCCGGCCAAGGTCCTGAATGTGGAGTCGCCCAGCGCTACAGACAGGGAGACACAGCGTTTGGGGGGGTGTGCCCTCGCAGCCCCCCTCCTTCTGACACCCCCTCCCCACAGCCGCCATTGCTGCTTCTTTCCCCAGCAACCCTTAGGTCTGCGTGGATTGTTCTGAAGGGCCCCGGCGGGCCTGGAAGTCCCCACCGGAGGAGCGGCCGCGGTCATGCCTGCAGCGCCGGCGCGCCTCCCGCCCTGGGGAGTAGCAGCAGGGTCCTTTCAGAGCGGCTGCCCCTTCTCCTCCTCCAGGACAAAGCCTGCTTTGCTCGCCTGCCCCTCCAGACCCAGAGGGGGCCGAGTCTCGCTCCTCAGGGACAGGCTGCCGTTCAAGTTCATGGCGGGTCGAGCCACCCGGCTCTGGCCGGCAGCTGGGCACAGGCCGGAAGGGTCGGTCTCTTGGTCTTGCATTGGTGGCTTTTCCGGTCTTCCTTTCCCTTGGCGATCCCCTCCTCCTCCTCCTCCTCCTCCTCCTCCTCCATGGCTGCCTTCTTGAACCCATCAGCGTCTTAACTCCGAATCGCCGTCTTCCGGTCTCGGTCTTTGCTCTGCAAAGAAGGGCCAGAGAGGGAGAAGAAAGTTAGACAGACTCACTGGGCAGGACTGCCAGCTGAAAAACCGGAGGTTCCCCAAACTCCAGAGATTCTGCCCCCCCGTCCCCCATCACTGGCAGGGCCTCCCAACCAGAGGGGAGCTCAGGTTCCAGGTGGGCGCAGGAATGGTTTGTTCAGTTATGCACAGGGTGACCGTATTTAACACAGAGCAGGACCCTGGATCCAGAGGCGGCCTGTTTTCTTGCTCCCAGAGAGGGACTGTTTCCCGAGCCCCGGCTGCCTTCTCCTTGGCCCCTCGGCCCGATTGGGAAGCATCCAGGCCCGGTTCAGAAGGGCCCTGTGCTCACCGGACACCCCTTGCTCGCGCCGTGGTGGGGGGGCGTCCCCTCTCTTCCTGGGATGGCTGTCAATGTCCTGAGCTTTCGGCTCTGCCCCCCCCTTTTCTGCTCCCCCCCCCAGCACCCAGCAGGGGATTAGCAGCTATGGCTAACAGGCAACCTCATCCTTTGTTAAAGGGAGGCGAGGGGGGGTGCGGAGGAAGGGGGGGAGTGAGTGAGCTCAGAAATGGTAAAATTAAATTTCCCAGATGTTGAGGCCCCAGGAGTTCGCTTGCTGTCTGGAGAGGAAATGGGGATTCGGAAAATCCCGCCTCATATTTTTTCCCCTATCACCTAGCCTTTCCGCTGCCGTTAAGTTAAGCAGGAACCGTAAATTAAGGGGATTTCGAAGCGAGCCCATCTTTTGGGAGAGGGATGTGGGGAACGGCCCCTCCCGGCTGCCCCACTCGCTTCCGGCCGCCCTGGAGCCGGCTTGAGGGCTGCTCTTTGGGCGCTTCCCGGCTGAACCGGCCGTTTGGCGATGATGCCCTGAATGCCAGGCCGTTGGGTCCCCTTCCTCCTGGGGGGAGGTTCGTGCTTCCGGGAAGGAATCCTTCTTGAACCGGTCCAAGGAGGGCACCTGTCGCTTTGGGGTTGCCTTTGGCCTTCCTCCCTCAGGGCCTTCCCGTCCTTCAGAGAGAGGAGGACCCGCCCTGCAAGAGGTGACCTGCCGGGTCGGGTCGGGACCTTTGGGCATTTCTCAGTGTGGGTGGGAAGCAGCCCCCTTTTTTCATTCCAGAGCATCCCAAGTGTGCCCTTCCTGGCAGTGATTAAAGGGGGCTCAGTGGGGTAACCCGAAGGCCAGGGGGGTCCTTGACCCAGGAGAGGTCCCTGCAGGCCTGGTGCCTTTTCTCTCCCCTCGCCCCCAAGGGACCTGACCTGAAGCCTTTTGACCTGCCTTATATGTGGGGGGGGGGGCTTGCCCTGCTCTGCTCTGCTCTGCTCCCCAGCCCCCAGGGGCGAGAGCATTGATGCTCTCAATGCCTCTCTCTCACACACACACACACACATACACACACACACCAGACCTGGGGAGGTGCAGCTGCCTCTGGCCACTTAGCCTCCCGCTGAGCCCGGACTTCAAAGGGGCAGCCTCTTCCTGCTCTTAAGGAAGCAGCTGCTTGGGGTGGAGGGTGGGCTGCAGCTGCAGGGGAGGGGGATCTGAAGCAAGCCCCTGGTCTTTGCTTAAGAAGAAGGGGTGGGGAGAGGGGGACTTGAGGCAGAGGCCAAAGAAGGAGCCCTTAGTTTGCCTGTTTCGGCATGTTGGCAAAAAAAGGGGGGGGAGAAAGAAAGGGAACATGGAGACGGAGGGAAGGAGGGGGGGAAATAATGGGCCCCTCCAAAGCAAACCCAGTGGGAGCACTCGGATGCGTTCAGGGAAGCGGGTTTGGGCCTCCAAAATCTGACCCTGGGGCAGGGCGAAATCTCTGCAATGTCTGAGGAAATGGACTGGTCCACGAAAGCTCACATTAAAACATAGCAGTTCGTCTTTAAGGTGCTGCAACGTCTTAGTCTTCTTAATTTTTTTCCCCTTTTGTTTTTGGCCCAAGATGCTCGCCCAGACTAAAGCGGCTGCCTCTTCTGAAACAAATCTATTGGTTCTTTAAAGTGCCACAATGTTTTATCCCCCCCACCCACCCCACCCCTGTCCCTTTAATTTTGCAGGCTTGTGACAGTGGGCCTTGGGTGCCCAAGCAGGCTGGGCATATAAGGGCTTCTGTCTTGGTGAAGGGGAAGCGACTCTAAAGAAGCCCTGCAGATTTCTATTTCATCACAGCAGCAGCAGCAGCAGCAACAGGAGGAGGCCTTTTGTGTGATGGGGGCCAGCAGCCCCGTGCCCCCCCTCCCCATTACCCCACCTCAGCAGGAGACTTTTACTGGTCCCAAGACAGCCAGATATCCCACCCTTCAACAACACACACACACACACAAACACACCACGGCTCGCTCACTTCTATAAACAAAGTTTATGGCTCATATAATTGTAGAGAGATGTTCAAAACGTCCTGGCTTGGAAAATAAAAATAGGAAAACTAAAGGTCAAGTAAGCTGGCCAATAAAAAGAAAACCCAGATTAATTATTTTTAAGGCTGTGCCAACGCTCTGCGCTGTTAACGGCGCACCCAAGCTCTGGGTGCGTGCCTTCGTGCGCCCACTTGCACGCAAAGTACTTTGCATTGCCGAAATGGGGAAATCTTCGGTTGCAACCAAGCCCAGATACACAGCTTTCATCCCCAGCCTTCAGTAGTGTACTTAGACTGGCCCAGGGAGAACCAGCTTCCTGGGAGAAGTCTCCATCCCGGCTCTTAAAGTGAAAATTGTCTACATTTCCAGGAATACGGTAGGTGTGAAAATGTTCTAGAAGGCGCACATTGCAGCATAAGCTGAAGATGGTCCCACCCAGCAACCTTTGAAAATGTGATATTTGTCATTTCTTAGTATGGTCTGAGGTAGGATGGTGTCATGGTTAGACACCATGCAACCCCAGAATGGCCTTGGTAGCCAGATGGGCAGTATAGAAGTCAAATAAAATAAAATAAAATAGAGAGATCCAGTTCAGATTCCCAACTAACCATGAAGCTGTCAAGAAAACCTTCAGCTTGTCTTTCTTTCTTTCTTTCTTTCTTTCTTTCTTTCTTTCTTTCTCTCTCTCTCTCTCTCCATTTAACTAGCTCTTCGGGAGAGTTGTGGTGTTTAAAGTGGGGAGAAAGTTAAGGTACTCATCCATTCTGTACCTATTGCCATATCAAGATTTTAAATTGTGGGGAGAAAGTTAAGGTACTCCTTCAGGTCCTTCAGAGTAAAGGTGGAAAATGAAGGGTGGAAAAAGCCACGCACAAGTGAACAGCAAGTAGCCCTTTGACGTTGTTGGCCCGATCTTCCGGAAGAGACTTAAGCCTGTCCGTTCGAAAGGACAGCTCCACAGAGGGACTCCCAGGGCAGATTTAGGAGTGACAAGGTCCATGCCTGCTCGTCAAGGATGCTTCCTTTGACCGTGAGCCCTCCTGACGGTGCATGCCATTCCCAGCCAGCTCATAGGCTTGTTGGTCAGCCTTCCCGAAAGTGCCGGCTGGTATGACTTTTAGGAGTCAGCAAACATGCAAATCCTAGCTGCCGTGGGAGCAGGAACTTGGATTGCATGGGCCGGTGGTCTCATCCCTCTGCCAGGCTTCTCTTCCGCTGTTACTCACCAGGGTGAGCCGTGTCAGTAGATGGAAACTGCTTTTCCCAGCCGGTCTCCCCAGCCGACAGTTGACCCTTTCGAGCAGGGACGGGCCACTGCCTCTGCGTGCTTTCTCTGCAACGTGGCTACTCTTCAGCCGAGAGACCGTGGGGGCCTGTAGGCAGCTGCTCTGCTCAGGGAGTGTCTGTGGCCCCAGGTGCCCTGGGGGTGGGAATAGCAGCCGTGGCTGGAGGGAAACGGAGAGCCTAGGAGGGAGACTGCGCAAGGGTGAGGGGACAGACCCTGGGAAAGATTTTTCTGGAGAAGAGTCGGGGGGGGGAGCAGCCAGAGCGGTGGCCGGTCTCCTCCCGGAAGGGAACTCTTGAAGCTCACCCCCCCCAGTGTGCTCTTTCGCCTCTCTCGGAGGGGGTCGAAGCTCCATGGGAGAGAGCCCCCGGGGCCCATGGAACGTCCAGGCTGTGGCCCTGATATTGCCCGTTAAACAAAGGACTGGAGAATGGGCTCGTTGTCTCTGAGAGCCATTCCCACTTGGAACAAACGGCGCAGGGTGAGTCAGACACGCTCTGGGTCTGTGTCCTTTCAGAGGGGAGCTGTTGGACACTTTCTCTCTCTCTCTCTCTCACTCCTGCAAGGCAGCAGTCCTGTACGTTTAATTTGGTTTAGTCCAGAGGAACTGGATGAAGTCGTTGCTCTTTGACCCTTTCTCTCCTTGCCAAGAGGGGAGACGAGACAGCACTCCTGGCTTGGCTTGCCCAGAGCTGAGGGAACCTGCAGGCCTCCAGCGGTTAGCGGGCATCCTTTCTCATCCTTAGCCCATCCAGTTGGGGCTGAGGCCGAGCGACATCCGAAGGCGGGCATGGGACCCCAGTGAACTCTCCCTTTGCACGTTAAGGAAGACGGAGGAGCCTGCCGTTAATCAGGAAGCTCTGCTTCCCTGCTGGAGTTTCCAAGTGGCCGTGACCTCCCGGCCCAGGGCAGCAGCCAACGTTTGCCGGATGGTCTGCAGGAGACTTGCAGATGCCGGGCTGATAGGACCAACTGATCAGTGGTAGCCAAGCAATAAGACATGTTGGGCGGATTCTCCAGTTCTGCTGCATCTGTGTTGAATCAGATGTGAAAAGAGGGGAATGTTGTCACGGCCCAGGTGGACACTGGCTGCCTTCACAAACTCTCCCCCTTTCCGTGTCTTTAACGGCAAGCAAACTGCACAACGTAGTGTCACCTGTCCGTTACAGGTGGAAGCTGCCATCCTCCTGGTGGGGACCTCCTCCTTCAGCACCCTTAGTTTCAGGGGGTTTTCACCTCCCGTTTCAAAATCCTATTCCGGTTCTTGTTTGTGAGTCCAAAAAGTCCTAAGCAAGAGTAATGGGGTGGTGTTTGTACAGATTAAGAATGAAGAGGGGTAGTGGAGCTGAGCATCCTTGTTTCCCACTTGGCCTCTCGAACCCCGTGAAATCAGAGCGTGACGACAAGGCTCATTCTGCCTTGAGTGAGTCAATGGATGCTAAAGGCCAATAATCGGAAAGGCATGGCAGAGTCTGAAGAGGGGAGAGAGTGGGCAACTGGACGGAGGGGCCCGCAGGACTGTCCTGACCTGTGTTTCCCCTCTCTTCTCAAAGGATGGGGCCTTCCCTGCCATGACCTTTGAAGTGCCACTGCCTGATGGATAGATAGGTTTACAGAGGTGCCTGCCCGGGAGTAAAAAGGATTCTGTTCCCCTTGCAAATTGCCCTTTTCACACCGAGAAACTCTAGAAGGTGCATTTTCCATGGTTCCTTCTCAGGTTGCCTTCAGATTTCCTGGATGAACCCTAGGAATGTCCCTCTTTGTGAGCATCATGCACATTTGCTGTTTGTGCATTTAAGGCCACTGTTTCTCAAGGCTCCAGAGGAGCTGCATGGGCCCATATCCACACCACATGCCCAATGGCGTCTCTGCCTTGCCCCATTCTTTACTGGACATTCCCCACATTTTCTGCTGCTTTACCTAGTAGATGTGCAGTCAGGTGCTGGGGTTTGCCTTTTCTACTAAGCTTGGAGTAGCTGTCCAGTCTCCCTCAGCCCAGCCCAGCCCTGGTGGCTGGGGGGGGGCGGCTTTGAGAGGCCAGCTGCTCTGAGGCGGTAGTCCTCTTCCTCTTCCTCTTCCTCACCCATGGCTTGCTTTCCACGGGCTTGGCTGTAGAGTGAGGGGCCCCTCTTGCGTTTATGGCTTTAGGATTTGCTGGGAGCCCAGGGGCACCAGATAGTCAGACAGATCAAATGAGCCATATTGATGATCAGTTTTAATAATTTGGGCGAGAACGGATCTCTGAGACATCATCTTCTGTCTCCATGGTTCCAGATGCAGCCGTTCTGGCAGTAAAAAGGTATCTGGAAGTGCAGCTGCAAATTCAGGGTTGCAGCACCTTTTAAAAATAGCCTGCTATTTAGGCAGCCCCCCCCCCGGCAGGTGCCACACAC